AGAACTAACGAGAATTAACTCGAGAACTAACTCGAAATTAACCAAGAATTAAGTGAGGATTATTGTGGAATTGAATTAGAAACCAAGCGGAATTAATGTGAATTAACAAGTGAAGTTAGAATTGAGAATTTGAGGAGTCAACACAAAGTTGAATATTAAGTGAATAGTGATACCAGCGAATTTAGTGAATCATTACATGAAGTATCAACAAATTGTGAATTGTAACCTGTGAAATTGAGTGAAAATAAATTGTGAATTTTGAGCCTTAAAAGCTGAGTTCCTTTACTTTGTCTCGCGAACAGATGCCTTTATTTCAAAATATCCATATAGACGATGCGTTCCACAGTGTACCAGACAGGGTTTCTTGTGATAAATAATTAAATTATAACCCACTTAACAACCTTTAAAAATATATAATTATTATATGTGTAACCCTTTAATAAGGGTATCCCTTTTTAAGAGACACTAACTGAAAATGTGAAACTGTCTCCATGATTGTGATTCAAAACTGTGTTGAATTTACTATTTGTGCACACTCAGTAAAAGTCCCCGCCAATTTAATAGGGTATCCCTCTTAATTACAAGGGGACCTTCTTTTACAGCATATCTCTTTCATACTAGGTCGTTCATAGGGATGAGCAGTATATACTAACACAGTTACTTTATTATGTTAAGACAGTTTAAACTTGTCATGTAAGAGTGTATAAATAAATAATAGGTAAAATGACAAGCCATGCCCTCTATTTAAATGACGTACAGAGTAAGTTATAGATCGTTGAATTGCGCGACGTTGTAAGTAAAATGAAATGTCATGTATTTAAATGAAGTACAGAGTAAATAATTGATCTTTAAATTGTGCGACTTTGTATTTGTAATGGTAAAACGGATTCCTGCGTTTGTTTGCACAACGTATATTCACCTAAACCAAGCCCACACATTCGGACGACAACGATCATTTAAAGAAATCGCATGCGCATGTAACTTTAAGTGACGTAATTGCGTTAAAATCCCAAAGCCGTCTTTGTGCATTCGAAAGTTCTCTTGGTATACTTTACGACTTGATATAAGTGATGATGTAATACATAACTTATATTCATATAGTCATAAATTGTCGACTGTCACTTACAAATATTGAAGACTTGTCAAATCATTGAAGAAACCTTTCTTTAAATTAGTTAATCTGTTAAAACTCAGATACCTTAAAAAAAAAATAAGAAAGTGATCTTAATTAAATTGGATCTTCAACAACATCATTTTTATCATTACCATTCTTAACCAGTAAATCATGATTTAACCATCTTTTTAAAATGTTAACAGCTATGTTTTTATTACTTTTTGGATGGATTGATGAGTACTGTAAATCACTTGGTTGCACGTTGCCTGATGGAATTTGCCGTGAATAGATCAAAATGATAAGTGTCATGAAACCGATGATCTGTATGATCGGTATGATTTTTCTAATCTGTAAATAATACTCCTCTTGTGACCGATCACAATTTCTACTATTAGAACGTTGCCACCCGGTTCGTTGCCACCGTAGACCCGTTGCCACCTGGCCTTTAGCCACCCGGCTCGTTGCCACCCATAGTTGTATAGTAGGCCTATGCATTGTATTCGCAGAAATTTTACTTTCGGCATTTTTGCCAAACTATGTGTACTGAATTAGCAGATTGTAGACAACGACAATCGTGTTTTAGCAATTATATGCTCCCTATTACTTAGTACTAGTACTGATTCTGCAGGACGTTTAGATGCTCGGAAACAAATTACTAGCACTTCGGACACAGTTAACTTACAATTTTACAATTAAAAGTTTTTTTTTCCTTTATGGGAAATAAAATCCCTGCCTATTAACAGACAGCGAGCGTATGTATCATTCTTTGGCATGATTCATTGGTTGGTAAAATTAAATTATTTGTGTAGAACCGTCTGTAAATCAATGAAAGCTATTTTTACTTTCATCTGATTTTGATGTTTTAAATTATAAAGCTATTCAATTTTATTAATGATGTGATGTGATGATGATGTGTTGTGCGCAGTTTTGTGCTGCAGTGACTGTCTCTTGTTTTCTAACTAAAATTGCTATTATACTTCTTTTTTGACCCAGTTTGTTTTTGTGATATCTTTCCTGTGTAACTGTGTATTGCATTATACCCTGTGATAGTGATTATTCAACCGACATTGATTTATTATGTGAGGAATTTAACTAGCTTTTACTAGGTCTAGCTGACTGTACTCTGTGTTGTTTTTATGTGAGGGAACTGTGAGGTTTTTCAGTGCAGTTGTGGTTTGTATCAAATTAAGCCAAGCGTAGCTTAGCATTTGTTCCTGACTTACATGCCACAAATCAACTAACTTTGTTGTTGACACCTGACTACATTCCTATCATTATCACTGAGTGCTGTGAAATTGTTTTATATACCATTAATTACTGGGAATTATGGTACGAATCATATACTCCAAAAATCAGCTTATGAAGTTGAGGAACACTTTGGCCCACAGTTGTTGTAGACCCATTGATCAATCTACTTGGTTAAAGTTAAAACAATTGAACATAGCTAAAAAATCCCAGCGTGGTTGCAGAGCTGGTAAAAACAAGATCCGTGCAATCAGCATTTTAACTACGCATAGGACTACATCAACCAGAGTAACAAATTCATTTCCATCAAATCTTGTTAAAATTCCACTCACTTGCGAAAATGAATGTAAAGCCCAAAAAATGTGTTCATGATCACTCCCTTAATAACATACATAAGAAAGGAAGAAACCATCAACACAAGGAAAGTGGATAGCACAAATCTGGTTAAAATCTCTGCTATACATCCCAGCTACATACCCAGATTGAACTGCAGGTTTGCAGTTTGGAATGCTGCCTCTATTAAGAAAAGGCAATGCACAACGTCCATTATAGATTTCATAATTTCAGAAAAACTGGACTTGCTAGCAATCACTGAAACATGGCTGACAGGGCAAAATTTTGATAATTGCATATTGGCTGATTTACAGAACTCACTACCAGATTTTGAAATACATCATCTCCCTCGTATGAATTCAAGAGGAGGTGGTGTTTGTATAATATTGAGGAAAGCGTTTGATGTAACAAAGGAAAAAGGTCCAGCATTCGCTTCCTTCGAACACATGGACATAACCATTTCATCTTGCAGCAAATCAATCAGACTTTTCCTCATTTACAGGCCTCCGCCGTCAAGGAAAAACAAACTGAAGACTAGTCTTTTCTTTGACGAATTTTCTAACCTGATAGACTTGCTTCCAACGGTCTCCACTTGTATCCTTATAACTGGTGATTTTAATTTTTACGTCGATGTGAATGATAACCGTGATGCAAGTACCTTTCGCGAGTTGCTCTCATCTGCTGATCCAAGCAGTTGATAGTCCAACACACGTGCAGTCACATCCTTGATCTTGTGATCACGCGCAGCAATGACAATGTTGTCTCTGATGTGTTTGTGGACTATAGTTTACCATCTGATCACGCTGCTGTTGTTTTCAAAATTGCAGTGTTGAAACCTAACTCCACAAAGATTAAAGTCAACACACGGAAGTTGCGCAATATTAATGTGGCAGATTTTAAGAAAGATATACAACGTTCAGTGCTTGTTACAGAAGCCTGCACTGACCTTGATGATTACATAACTATATAGTGAAACTATGAGAAAACTCCTCGATAAACATGCTCCGGAAGTTTTACGGACTGTTACACTTAGACCACACACTCCATGACGTACT